GGCCTCTCTGCAAGATGTGTTGTTTCATCATCACTGTCACTACTTGAAGATGAATCAGGATGAGGTGATGGTGCTCTCTCTGCAGGCCTTAGTGTGTCATGTGGGTAATTACCCTGATTAAATCCCAGTGGAGTCCTGCTCGTATCCACACCAGAAATCTGCTGTTCAAAACGAGCATCCTGCTTAAGATGAGTGTTGGTGAGCTCAGATTTATTGTGGTTGTTTTTTGTATCTTCTTCCTCCTCCTGGTCTGGGTTCACGGTGTATTGCGTAGGCTCATCCTCACTGAGATGTGAGCTGCAGCTGGACGCATCATCCCTGCTCTGGTTGTCTGAAGTGGGCAGCACATTCAGTTTTGAATCATTAAAAGAACCAAACATACCACTAGACCTGGCTGAATTGCTTCCAACTGAATCACTAAAATCAAATTGTTCTTCATTCCCCTGCCACAAATCAGAGTCTTTAGGTTTGGTATCATTCAAATGTGGTGACCAATCTGCAAAGGGCTCAGAAGAGAATCCAGGAATTTCATTTGTCCTCTCGATGGATAATTGCGGCACTATTTCAGATGTTGAGGAATCAGCTCCCTGCTGTACAGAGTCTTCTGCCTGCTGCAGAGACTTGGGTGTTGTGAGGTCTCTCTTGTTCATTCGATCCTTTTTTAATTCTCTGTCAGATAGTGAAGAATCTGAGCATGAAGACAAACTTCTTTCCTCCAGCTCTTTAGAGTCTGGGATGTGTTCAAACTGCACTTTGTGTCTGCGTCTTTTATCAGTGGTGCCAGAGATGTCTCTTGCATCGCTCTGGTTATTTTCTGGACTTATCTCTGTTGAGCCATTATCACTTCCTGATTCTCCAGCTGTGTGCTCATCCTCCTCAGTCTTTGCTGCTTCTACGCTTTCCTGATTACCACTGGCTAATGTATCATAATATTCTACATTAATATCTTCTCTAATGTTGACAGTGTTAAATGTGACTCTCCTTTCCCTGTGAGTTACGATCTCCTCTGGTTCCTCACCTTCAGAGTAGGCTTCATTCTCATATTGTCTTTGTTCTGCAGATGAGACAGAGTTTGTTGCAGATGGGCTCCTCTTGTTAGTTATCTTTGTCCAAAGAACATCAATAAAAGGTCTTACTAAGACCCCAAGGACAAAGGCTATCAGAAACGTGATGAAAACTGACAGACACACTGCCAGAGCTAGGTCAGACTGCGTAGCTCTCTGATTCCTTTCTTGAGGGATTACTTGTGGGCTAGCTCTGGGCACACTTCTCGCTTTTCTTCTTGCATGTTCTACTCTACTGATTTGGAGGTTAAAAACAGAAACAACTTCATGATCTTCAGTCATACACACATATAGTCCCGTGTCTTTCTCACTGACGTCACTGATGAACAGAGAAGCCTGAGGTTGGCTCACAGATTCTTGATCACTGGGCGTCAACCACGAGGAGTCTACAGAGAATGTAACAATAACATGTAGTCAGGTTTACCTCCATTATTTTAGTATGTAAGCTATTACATATGCTATCTTATACTTTTGACTGCTTTACCTTGTTTAGAGCAAGACAGAAGAATCTCAGAGCCGCTGTAGACCGTCACATCTTGATGCAGCTCTGGACTGTTTTCAGTACCAAAGCAGTTTAGGTCATCCTCCTCCAACTGTAGCAGGTCTTTGCCTGAGAGGACAGAGGGGAAAGCACACTCCACGCTCCAGGTCTGCAGACCTCTGTCGCTGTCATAGGACATACGCCTTCTTAGACTGCGCATGCTGCAGTCACACTGCCACCTGTTTCCATCCAGCCTAACATCTGACCCAATGTTACGCAGGGAGAGGTACATCGAAGGATGGAGGCTGGTCAACATGTTGAAGCTGAGATCAAGGACCTTTGAGGAGGAGAAAAACATGGACATATGGCAGATGAGACAAAATTTGATTGTGAATGCATGAATAGATTTAAGCTACATAGTCTTTTAAACAGAAAATACTTTTCCAAAAATGGACCAATTTGACAAAATGTCATGGTTAGAAGGACTGAATATTCTGTGAAAGTTTGATTATGCGAGAACAATATCAAAATTTGGCAAAAAATAATACGCTACATATTATTCCTCAACTTAAAAACAGTAAACTTCCATCTTACTCTGAGCTGGGTTAAATCCTGGAACATCTGTGGATGGAGATGCGTGATGAGGTTATGTTTTAGGTGGAGCTCTTTTAGCTGTTGAAGATGTCTAAGTTCTCCTGGTCGTATAGTTGAGATCCTGTTGAAGGAGAGCTGCAGAACCCATAAGGATGCACTACCTTCCAGCCCTGGATGACAGAAAATAAGAGCTGTAATTAGACTTCAGCCATGACCATGGTGGGGTGGCTCCTGAAGGGAGGAATGTTCCATGTGTTACAGGTTTTCAGTGATAACAGGTTGGTTTATCTCTTGCCCTCTCAGTCCTGTGTTGCTTAACATTTGTCGGTGTGAAAACTATTTTTAAGTACAATATTGATTTGTTGTCATTTCCGCAGTGAATGTTTCAATGCTGAGATTAAGGACTCCATGTGTGGTCTTGATAGTGAATAGTGTAAAATTCCCAAATCAATGAACACCCCTTCCCAAGAATATGAATCCAAACTAGTGTGGCTTATTTTCACTGTGAACACTTTTACAATGCCACTAATTAGGGGCTGAGAATTTTTTGCGAGGAGCTCATTCTGTCCTATCGTCTCCTCCTTTTCACTCGCCTGAGACAATCTCAGTTAGTCTTCTGGGCTGGAGTCAGCCACTGTGAGTGTGTGCTTCGTTAGAGAGGCACTGAGGGTTCTGTGAGCTGAATACCAAACAGGAAAGAAGTCTATGACTGTCAACACAGCTTTTGCTAAGTAAATTTGCTGTCCACACATGCCTTTAGAAGAACCATAGTGAATATGTTTCTTTGCAACACACTCTGCTGTTAAACCAAGCAGAAGGAATGCTGTGAAATGACATGATGCAGGGGGAAAATTAAATTTTGCATTGGATGTTTACCCCTTTCTTTGAGCCAATGGAATGTCAATAAAAACTGTGACTGGCCGACAGCTGTACAGTTTCATTATCTTGGGAGGTTTCATAATTTCTGAGTAGAGCGCAGTACTAAAGATAAGGGATATCAACAAGAGGGTTTGTTTTTATGTGAAAATAAAATAAAACTGTTTTAGCAATGCACACAGCTCACACATTTATTCTTCTATAATGAACACATTGACACACATAGACCTCAGCCCATGCACACTAACATTTTTAACCATAATTTTAAGACAGTGTGGTTATGATGTTAATCTATCTTCAGATCTTTTTTCATGGACATTCCTCAATGACATTCCACAGGACAATTTAAGTCGTAGCTTATAAACGTTGTGTAACTTCACTATCAGAGGCACCCTTTTTTATGACCCGCACAGAGAAATGTTTTTTAAAAAAAAAGGGACTTTCATGTGTAATTAATGTGATCAGATCTTGTAGGCCAGTGATCAACAACCTGGGGTCCAGACACATAGGTCAAACAAAATAAAGGTTCTGCCATATAAAGTTCATTAATCTATTTATCTTAAAACTTTGGTTTGTTTGTAAAATATTGATTGTTTAACTCTTCAGGCTCTGAAATTTTATTCAGATAACACTGAATCTGAATATAAAATCATGTTCATCAAGTGTGTGTGTCACTCTTGTCTACCTTTACATTACATTAGAGAAACTACAGTAAACACAGCTTATATAATGGGCACACACTCAGAAAATGAACATTTAATTTAACTGTTTAACCTTAGATCACACCGGGTGAGGTCTACAAGTCATTAATAAGTTAATAAACAATGTTGTGAACACTATCATATACATAATTATGTAAATTCTACAAATGTGTTGACAACAGTGGAAAGAAACTAAGTTCATTTACATGTACCAAAGCTTAGTACAGATTTGTAGGACTTTGTTTGAGGATATCAATTTAAAACTTTAAAACTTACAGTACATTTCTGATTGAAAGATTGTAGTTTTGATAGCTACATTTGTTTATTAGCAGTTAGTTACTAATTACTATAACTCCAAACTTTTTATATGTAAAATATGATCAGCTTATCATTATGATGCTCTGTTGTAGATAAAACGACCCCATAAAACATTCACAATTAGCCCCACCTCTAATAACTACTTCATTAAAGTACTGGTTGTATATAAACACATCAGTAACAATGGTCCAATTTTACTGAACAACAGTGAAACACTGGCAGGGGTCTTTTTAAGGAAACTTCAGTTTTGATATTTCAGGTTATTTCTTTTTAGAAATACTTTTGTTCTTTTACTTCACACTACATGTTTAAGTTAAGTCTTTTTATAATGGGATATAGCGGATAGGAGATTGTCTGTATACATCCACACAGGCAGATGAAAATTGTGAAATCACAGATCAAAATACAGATCAGGGTATAATTGAGTGGAAAAACCTGAATGTGTGATTAACAACCGATATGTAAATGTTGGTATGTATGAAAATAATATATCCTGATTTGTTGGCCCACCTTCAAACAGTGTATAGCTTTTGATTCTCATATATTTGCTCTGCAGACTGTGAGCAGTGGTTGTTATGCTGCTCATGGTCTGTGACAGTGGTTTAAATATGGGTGTATGACTGTATTAGACTCACCCTCTGGGAGTTGTATCAGGTGATTCCTCTCAACAGATAGCAGCTGCAGGGTGGGGGCCCAAGACACACATCTGCGTCTGCTCCAGGGTCCCAATTGTCGTGTTTTTCTAACTCTGACTGATTTGGCTCCCAGGTTTTTGTCTATGCAGAGAGACAATCGTGTGATAGTGTTGTTTTCCAGCCATACATTCCTGAGGTTACGATATGGCCGGTGGAGCGTTACAGTATCGAGGCGATTTTGAGACAAGTCCAGCTCAGTGACAGAATCTTGGATGTGCTGCGGCACCGAGGAGAGGCCAGAGGACGAGCAGTTCAACAGGGGAGCTCTCTGACAGGTGCACAACTCGGGACAGGCCGGTGGGGGAGAGGAGCAGTGGAGGCCAGGGGAGACGAGGAGTAACACAGTAACAAAGAAAGGCCCCTGTACCACTGCCATCGCTGCCTCACCTGAAAGTACACATTGATCATTAATGCCAAAAAAATATATTTTTTAAATCAGTTTTTTCCATTAAGATGTTTTAGTTTTCAGTTTATACAATCCTAAAATGATCCAAAAATCATTAAAAGCTTAAAACTGGTACATTACAGTAAAAAAAACATCACTCACCCGTGTGTCCACTCTTCTTCAAGCTTAAAGGGAACTTGTGACTCTTCTTAAACCCAGGTTGTTGTCAGTGTATTAACTGTGACTGTCTCCACCAGTTTCTGATCAAAGTCTGAACGCACATTTTGCTGCGTCTTGCTTAACGTAGCCCTGCCCGAAGACACCATTCTGTGATTCATTCATTCAATCATTCACATGTCTAGTTAATGTATTATTGTAATTGTTTTCCTCCATGATTTATGATAGATAACCGATCCTGAAGTTTATGACGAAGAGAACCGTGCCCTGCTATAAGATAATAAAACAGCATAGTGAGGAAGTGTATTATTTTCTAGTTACTAAGGCCGATGACAACAGGTTTCACATAGCAACATGTTGCTTTATTGAATCAAACATAGCATTGAAATGTTGGACATATTTTTTCTTGTAGTAGTTCCAAATTACTCAACTCTTTCCAAACAGGCACCAGGTCTGCAATGCTCTGAGAACAACTACTTCATGACATCAATAACAAATGTTCTTAACATCACTTCTGTTATAAAACAGACAATCCAAGGCAAAATAAAATCTTTTATGGTATATTGCACAAAATTCAAACAACACAATATGGGCATCAAACAAGCTACTGATTATTTCAACTCATCTGACATTCATGAACATGAACATTTAAAGAGATGTGCATTAATCTGTAGTATAACTTAGTGCAAACACTCTTCTGTTTTTTAATATTGTATTTCCTCACTGTAAAAAGCTTCTGCAACAAAATGAGAATACTATCCATATATATTGATGTCACTGCTCATCCCTTATAAATCCATTGACACGTGCATGATGAACAGTCCCAGGATGTGCAGAAAGAGGCCTGTTTAGCATTACTGGATGGCTTCAAATGTAACACTCCTGTTACAGTTTATCCCAATTCTGTGCAGTTCACCCAAAGTATTATATCACTCGATATAATCTTATAGTGTCTCACGCATGTCAGTAAAAATAATAAAGAGAGTAACAAACACAGCTGCCAGGAACAATGAACAGAAAATAAAATCATATACAACCCCCCTACAAGGATTGTACCCTCGATTAGTAGTTTATTACGGACACCTAGCTAAAACGAATGTAGTTTAATACAAGAGTCCTGCAGTAAATTCTGCTTTCATGGCACTTACAATGTTCATTTTCAGGGAGGTGTTTATTCTGCTTTCTAGTAATTTTGGGGGCGTAATTTTTTTGGTGCTGTTCAATTATATTTTGTCTGAAGACTTTCACAGACATATTGGTATTATATATATGATATAAAAGTTTAATTCAAACAGAATAAACAAGGCAAAAAGATGTGCATTTATGTTAACATTTTACAGAAAATGTAAATGAATGTTCAATATATTGGTTATATTTGTGTTTTACCTTACTTCATTACTTACAATGAAGTTTATGTCTAAATTATAAAATATAAAGCCTTGATTAGATTTCTTTGACATATTGGTTTATCGGCCCCTAAAAATCCATATGAACTAAGCTCTATTTCTGTCCATCCCATTTATATCACTGACAACAGGAACATTAGACTGTATAAAGTAACACAGTTCAACAGCACCACAAACAGAATCAACACGTCTCTGAAACAATTTAAATAAAAACTGAACATTAAAGCATTCATGGAGGGGGATTTACTGCAGGACTGTTTATTAGAAAGCATTAGTTTTAACTAGATGAACCCATTAAACTGCCAACTTAGTCTATAATACTGGACAGTAAGGCAAAAAATAAATATTGTAGCTTTTAATTGCTACCACCTGGCAATGTAAACCACAATATGATGTTATTTGTAGGAGTGTTAAGCACTTTCACGGCATAATAAAGTTTAAATAAAGTTGGCAAAACTGCAGGACAATAAAAAAACTACAGATTTCTGTTAATATCTTTGGCCAAATGGCATTGATCTGTAATACCATTCCTGCTCTGCTAACAAAATAAGGAATACAGAATTTGTCAGGTGAACCACAGAGGTACAGTATTGTTATGTGCAAGTCATGATGAATTTCCTATAGAAAGTCCTGTTATGCAAATATGTAATCTGATTGGATGGGTGAGATTCAGCAGATTCCAGTCAGGCTTCCTAGTGAGCTTTTCTACAAGGGTTATCTGACGTCTGGCACCCCATGTTGGGATACTTCACCTGCACACGGAACAGAGTCCCGTCAGCACACATGCACAGCTTGTACCTCTCCATCCCCTCATCGAAATACACATCTCCTGCTGAGTTAGGGATGCGTGTGGCATTGAACATGACTGATCCATTGAGGACGATGCTGTTTTCCTGCAAAGAGAAAAAATCCATGATCCATGTCTCTCAATCTTCTTTACGCTGCGTTTATGTAACTCACATTACACACATGTCCATACTTACAGCTCTGAGCTCGATGCCTCCACCCATTTTGAACTCTACGGTACGGCCCATGATGTTGACCCCCTCATTACCACGGATAATAGCCTTGCTGTCCCCTTTAATGTTCAGGTCAGATGTCGCACTGCTGGTGATCTAAAATCAGAAACAACCAGAAACGTTCAAGGGCATTCATATACAAAGATATACGGATACTCCAAGATTGTCTGGGCTTTGTATGTTCAGCTGTTGCCATATTGAACATTGAATTTCTAACATGGTCTAACCTTCATTTAGTTTTTTGCTCTATTTATTCATTTCACTCTCATTTCACAGTCATTATGAGTCACTGTGGATTGTATAAATATTTTTGTGAAACACTGACACAATAAATCAATTATATATTTTTTTACTATCAGACAGTTATTAGCAACATACACACCCTTTCTGTGGACGCCTTTTTAACGCTGAGGACTTTGACCCCTTTGGGCAAATGGAACTCATGGTTTTCAAAGTCCGTACTGAAGAACGTGTTCTGTGTGCGGGGGTCTGTGAATGATATGCCGACATCACTGACGACCGAAGTCTTTTCCTTTTCTACACTGAGCCTAGAAGTGCCTTGCTGGAACACAACCTGGAACAACAGAAATGAAGCAAAGAGAGGATTCATTATAAGAAAGCAGTGTATATTTTAATAATGATTAGTCATCACTGTAAATGTGCTCTGTGTCTCACCGGGTTATTGTTGCCGACAATGACCAGGTCCTGGTCCTTACGGCCTCCTACTGTGCTCTTGTGCAGTGGATGAATGATGCCCATGTCCGCTTTCTGTTTAAAGCGCAGCAGGCCAGACTCATGGAACTCCATACTGTCGCAGCCATTCGGACCAATACGGATCACAGTCCATATAACTAGTGTGATCTGAGGGACAGCGTGAGACCAGAGTTCATGATTCATGCAACAACACAGTGATTACTCAAAGAGGATTAATTTAAAAACCATTTAGGCTCTTAGTACTCACAATGAGGTTAATTAAGGCGAGGAGGAAGAGGAGGACGATGATGCAAATGGCCATGTTTCCCTTACGTCCTCTCAGTCCTGTCTTATGGAGACGCTCCTCTTCTATGGGTACATAGCCAGCTTTAAAGTTACTGTTGTGTTCCTTGTTGATGTTACGTCTTTCTATGGCCTTTTCTCGCATGGACTTCTTCACCGGCCCATTGGAACTCTCCTGGATGGAAAAATCAATCTTATAACACTAAGATCTAGATTTTGTGTGACTGTATTTCCATAATGTAATTTCTTTTAAGTCAGGACACTATACATTAAAAATAACCTATATACTTGTACAACACCATAACATGCACTACACAGAGAGACC